ACCTTTCTATCTTATTTCAAGATACTCAAAGCGCTTTACACTACAATCTGTGTCCTCATTTACCCATTCATACAGCACTCTACTAGAGCTCTACAAAGCTAAATGAACAAAATAATTCTAAAGAGACTAATCAGAGCTTTATCACATTCAAACACCGATGGGACACACATCGGAGGCTATGAGGGGTTCAATGCCTTGCCCAGGGACACTTTGGCATGTGACTGCTGGTGGATTCGAACCCCCAACTCTTGTATTGGAGGATGACTGCTCTAACCACTCAGCCACAGCCGCCCCAAACTGGTAGAGCTGCTGCCTCTCAGCGAGCAGGTCCCTGGTTCAAATCCCGGTTCGGGGGCCTTTCAGGGTGGAGTTTGCATGTTTTCTCCGTGCATGCGTGGGTTTTCTCCGGGTGCTCCGGTTTCCTCCCACAGACCAAAAACATGCATGTTAGGCTGATTGGTAACTCTAAATTGTCCCTAGGGGTGAGTGAGAGAGTGAATGGTTGTTTGTCTCGTTTGTTTCTGTGGTCCTGTGATGGACTTACGATCCGTCCAGGTTGTACCTCGCACAGTGATTGCCGGACATGGGCCACGGCGACCCCCGTGACCAAAAATGGAAAACGCGGGTAAAAGATACTGGATGGATGATGCATCAAATGGTAGGAGGTCTGGACTTTAGGCAGGTTAGTTCAGAACCTGGACTATTCTGCAATGGAGTCATGCTGTTAGAATGGATGCATTATGAGGTTTAGCATTCATCCATTCATCTAACATCTTCTGCCTGTTCCGGAGGTGGGTCGAGGGGGGCAGCAGCTTAAGTAAGGAAGCCCAGACATCTCAAGGTGTCCTCAGGCCAGCCAAGAGACATAAGCCTCTTCTCCATGGGTGCAGCTTTACTCAGTTCGCATCGACTCAGCATTGGCCAAATGTGTCTCCATTATCCATTCCTGCTTGGTTTTTGGAACAGCCTCAGCCATGGTTCCAAGTGAGATAAGCCGAGCAACCAGTTTTGACATCAGCAAACTGCAGCAGTTGACTGGTCTGTGGATTGGACATCACTGGATGAACCAAGGCGATACTTGCAAACTCCTCCTTAAGTGCCATTTTCAATCTGATTGTTGAGTGTATGTGTACGTGGCTGAGATGGAGAGCTGCATATCAGGTTATTTCATGGTTGACTGATGAGGCGCAAACCTTTTGATCAATTTTGTCAGTCGAGCACATACAGTGTGAGCTCGACTGAGCAACGAGGAACGAGCAAGTTTGTTTTTGTTTTTAATTACTTTATTTTACCAGGAAGAAATCCATTGAGATCATCAATCTCTTTTACAAGGATGACCTAGTTTACCGGGAGATGTCAGAGAAACTGGTTGCCCATGGCTACCCTCGCACATATAAACTGTGCTGTGACAATTTTTTTTAAATTAAGTCAAACTACTGGACAACATGGGCATATTATTAGTGTGTTTACTAAATAGCTACTTAGCAACATATGCTAGGAACATGTTAGTTAGCAACACATGCAAGACCAGCGTTCCCACCCACTGACACTCCTGCTCACAATCCCGCCCAGTGAATGAGAGACGCTCTCAATGGCGACACACCTACACTAAAGTAGAACTGAATAGAAATGAAGCAGTTAGAGTGGTACGTACCAGTGGAGAAATTGTTAAAATCTCACCAGTATGTATTGGGTCTTCTTGGGACCTCTTCCCAGTCTGACATGTCTGGAGCACCTCACTAGGGAGGCACAGAGGGGGCATACATACCAAATGCCTGAACCACCTCAACTGGCTACTTTTGATGTGGAAGAGCAGCGGCTCTACTCCAAGTCTCTCTCAGATAAGTGAATTTCTCACCCTATCTCTACGGGAGAGTCCAGCTACTCTGCAGAGAAAACATTTCCAACACCTGTATCCGCAATCTTGTTCTTTTAGCCACTACCCAGAGTTTGTGGCCAAAGGTGAGAATAGGAACATAGACCGACTGGTAAACAGAGAGCTTTGCCTTATAACTCAACTCCCTCTTCACTAAAACGGACTGGCACAGAGTCCGCAATATTGCAGATGCTGCAGCAATCAGAGGCTGAACTCCTCCACTTGAGGCAAAACCTCACTCCCAACACAGAGGGCAAGCCATTCTTTTTCGACTGAGGACCTCAACTCAGATTTATAGGTGCTGAGTCTCACCCCAGCTGCTTCACACTTTGCTGCGAACCATTCCAGTAAGAACTGAAGCTCATGACGTGATGATGCCAACAGGGCCACGTTATCTGTAAATAGAGATGAAATCCTGAGGCCACCGACACAGACTCCCGCCACTCCCCGAGTAAACCAAGAAATTATGTTCATAAAAGTTATAAATAGAATCAGTGACAACAGGCAGCCCTGGCAGAGTCCAACTCCCATTCTAAAGTGGTCTGACTTTCTGCCGACTGTGCAAACCAAATTCTCACACTGCTTGTCAAGGGACTGAATGGCCTGTAGCAACAGGCCCCAGTCCCATACCCACAGAGCACCCCCCACAATGTACCTAGAGGAACATGGTTGAAAGCCTTCTCCAAGTCCTCAAAACACATCTAGACTGGATGGGCAAATTCTCATGATCCCTTGAGGACCCTAGTGAGAGTAAAGAGCTGGTCCAGTGTTCCACACCCAGGACAGAACCTGCATAGTTTCTCCTGAATTCGAGATTCGACCATCGTTTGGACTCTCTTCTCTAGTACCCCTGAAGGAATGCTAAGGATAGTGATGCCTCAATAATTTGAGCACACCCTCTGGTCGACCCTTTTTGAAGATGGGAACCACCACCCCAGTCTGTCAATCCATTGGCACTGTCCCCAAAGTCCAGGCAATGTTGCAAAGGTGTCAACCAAGACAGCCCCACTACATCCACAGCATTAAGAAATTCAAGGTGGATCTTGACCACCCCTGGAGCCATGCTCTCGCAGAGCTTTTTAATTACCATGGCGACCTCAGCCCGTTATGGACAGACCAACCCCGATGTCCCCTGACTCAGCTTCCTCCATGGAAGATGCATTAGTGGGATTGAGAAGGTCCGAGAGCATTTCTTCCACCTCCCGACAACGTTACTGGTTGAGGTCAACAGCAACCTACCCTTACTCAAAATGTCCACTACAGAGTTCGAGGACGGCCACCATAATAAGCACAGATAACCTTGCAGCCATAGCTCAAGGCAGCTGCCTTGACAATGGAGGTGCAGAACATGGCTAGGATGCAGCTAAAGCACTGTCAAAGGTGTAAGTTCAAAATCTTTCTGACAGGCTCTTTTGTTTTCCCAGCAAACCTTCACTACACATTTTGGTATACCCGGCATCTTCCCCCACTATCTGATCCAACTCACTCAACTCCTCTCTTCACCAGTGTCCAAAACATATGGAGCTGGGTCATGCAAGCAGAGCATGCAAGGCCTTTTCTTTAAAATACTAATAAAATAATAATCTGAATGGAAGAATTTGTTGTAAAACCTGCATATGCCTTTCTAGATGTGTAAACTGTTCGTACCATAGGTGCCAATGCACCCCCATACTATCATCGAGGCAAGCATTTTGAATCATGCATTGATAACAGGCCATAAGGTCCCTCACGTTTTTAATATGGAGGATGTGCCGTTTGTTCAGACCAGTTTTTCATGCAATGCTATCTGAAGGTTTAAAGTTCACAGGTATCCAGTAGGTGTGCATGCCAATTTATCGGCCCCGATTTCCTTAATTTTGGGAAATTGAAAATTGGCCGATACTTGCATGAGAAACCGATTTTTTTTTGTTTTAACAACAATTGTCTGAACTTCATTTATATTTCAGAGCACTATCCTCATGACCAGTTAAACAAGTTTGTATTGTTTCTAGGATCTTGTTCAGGGGTATGTTTTTCAATAAAATAATACTGGAAAATTGAAGGTGCATTGTGACATTATAACATCTGACAGTGGCTTATAAAAAAAATTTGGTATCGGCCAAAATCGTAATGTCAAACTTTTTAGAAATCGGTGATCAGCCAGAAAACGGCAATCTGTGCACCCCTAGTATCCAGTATTGATTTTCAGCCATGTCTTTTGAGCTCAGATTTTCCCTGATTCTTAAAATCAATTTTTCAATCCTAAAATCTTTTGCTGATTGTGAAATAGTCGACGTATTCTCATTTTTTGTTATTCTGAAATTGTTCCACTATTTTAGGCAGTTTTTCTGACAGGTAGAACCTCTGCCCATGTTAACTTCTGATTCAACCTGCAAATTTTTTTTATACTCCTCTTACTTACCTGTTACCAAATAACCTATCAGTTACAAAATGCTCCTACAGCCGTTTCTTACTTGTACCAGTTTTTAGCCTTTTGTTGCCCCTCTTCAAAATTAATGTTTTGCTGCCATGAAATAAGATTTTTTTTTTTTTTTTACATGTGATAAAATACAGCATGTTTGAGATTTTTTTTTAAAATTACTAAAAGCTTATATTTTACACAACTCTTTTTCAGATGCCATTTTTCTCAGAATTGGGAGTTGTATTACCAAATGCATACAGGTAATTTGCTGTAATTCATCATCTACTTAGTTGTGATTGCAATGACCCAAGCTTTAAGGGCCGGCTTTTAGAAAGGGTCAAGTGTGAGGAGAGTTGCTGATTTTAGCCTGTTGCATGGAGACTGCAATCCAGGTGATGCATCAGCCAATGGCAGGAAGCCAGAGGATGGCATCAAGGTTGGTGCAGCTGATGGGAGTGTAGGACCAGCACTTGCCAAGCCATTCACACAGTCATAAATTATGCGTTTACTGCCGGCTGTGGCTCTTTGTACTTGCCAACATTACATTTGACGTCAGCAGCACATCATCATATCAAATCAGACCCAAGCAACCCATGTTAAAATGATGGGAAATCGAAGTGGCAATCACTTCATCTCTATAAACATATTTTACAAAACAAACAAAAAAAACTCAATATTTATAAACTGGTTTATGGAGCTAAGTTCACACTCTAAAAGCTCAGCTTGTTTATCAATAACGTTTTATTTAAAGTAACCCTTTTTATGGTGACACGTGTTCTGCATCATCAGATGTTAGACAGCAGCAAATGCAACTCCCGGTGAAGCATTTACAGTAAAGTTCATCACATGAAGGTCATGCACAGCAAAGGTGCATGATGTTAACTGAAGCAAGCTTGGTATCCAACTAATCATATTTACAGCTGTGACCAATCTTGACAGAAACTACAAATTTCCACATGCATATGTTGCATTCAAGTAAACACTTGTACACAGATGGAAACATTTTTATAAATTCATCTTCTGCTCAAAATAAACCTCCAAACAAGTTGTGTAATGAAATGATTTTACAAATAAAAATATCCAATCTACATTTTTCCATTATTCATTCAGTAAATTCAGTCATCAAAGCTGAAAAACTGCAGGAAAAGAACTGGCCAAATAATCCACAGCATTTCTTTAAAAAATACCCTTGTGTAACAACTGTCCCTATGGATTAGACTAGAAAATAGATCAAACAATATTATCCTTGTACAAAAGACAATAAAACAATTATGGTAATAAAAATAAGAGTATGTATAGTGTAAATATATATTTCATATTCTTAATTTTTTAACTGTATTTACAAATTAATGGTGTAATGGACCGTGGTGTGGCATGTCGTAGCATTTTCTATGGATTTGGCCCCCAATTTAAAAAAAGTAACATTTATGTTTTCCAGAAAGAATGAAATGACCTTGGAGAACAAAAGCTGACCCAAACTTTGTCCGTCTCTTTGATTCTCCTGACCAAAAACTGGAATGCCCAAAGTGAAGTAAGAGTACCCTTTTTCCCCCACAGACACTGCAACAAAGCGTCACTCGTTAATACAAAGTGCCCCGCAAAACATCAGTGCCACCAAGAACTGGGAAACAGCTGCAATAGCAGTCCATACGATCCGACAAGCTCAGCAGTGTCTCTGAGCTCGCCTCTCAGAGGATAAGTGTTCGTTAGCTTCATCTCTGGGAATGTGGGGAAAAGTCCAACCCCTTGAGACAGGGAGCAAAAGAAATGTCTGAATGAAAATGAGGTTTCAACGTTTTTTAATGGCTGCCCCATTGGAGTGAGGGGGCAACTTTGGCAGGCAGGGCTCCTCTGCTCCAGCATCGTGGGAGAAAACGGAGTCTTCGCCAGAAGAGCAGGTAGAGCTCCGGGTTTCAGGGTAGCTTGGAGAATATTGGTCCAAGGGCACAGAGAGCTCCAAATATTCCTGTAAGAGGACATGGAAACAAACAAAAAAAGATAAGAAATCAACACTGTCCTGTAAGACTTGCTGCTTCCCTATTGACTGTGACGAGGGAGACTGACCTGGTTGGATATCATGGCGAGACATCGATCCAGGTCTTCTACCAGCTGCTTGAAAGTGGGTCTCTGAGAGGGAACAGCATGCCAGCAGTCCCTCATCATCATATACCTGCAGAGTTCATAAAGGTTAAAAAAAACAAGTCCTCATGAATTATTTCCTACAGAAAATATCAATCATGATATCTCTTGTTATTTACATCCTTAATTCTGCTATGGAGTGGCCAAAAAGCAAAGGCTCAGTTTTAAAAGATAGGCGAGAAACTAAACTGAACAATATGTACCAGCTGTACCACTTAATGCTGCAGAGCATTTTATTTCACTGATCACCCGAACACCGTCAGGAAACATTATTGTGTTGCTAAGCACCTGGGATTTGTCTGATATACAACAGCATGGGTAAAATAAATATTGATGCCAACTGTTTGGACTGACGACGAGGCACAGTTTGTGACCAAGCCAAAAGTGAGGTTTCACACGCTGAACAAATGTTTATAACTTAATGTTTACTCTTAAAAAAAAAATTATATATATATATATATATATATATATATATATATATATAATTTAAATCTAAAATTACTCAAATCTGTAATATTGACTGAGCACTATTATCTACATGACCTTAATAAAACCAGATACAAATATGATGTAAATATTAATAGTAAAATGTTCAGTCTGCAGGCGAGTACAGGGTTTCCTTACAGCTCGTTCGTGCACGTTGAAGGCTTGTCCATTCGGTGACCCTCCTTTAGCAGCTTGAACAACTCCTCCACTGGTACACCCGGGTACGGAGAGCCCCCCAGAGTGAAAATCTCCCAAAGCAAAACCCCAAATGACCAGCTGAAGACAAGAGACCGGTGTCTTGATTATATCTTTTTTTCCCTCTACACTTTAAGAATAAATGTATCAAGCGACAAGATACTCACACATCACTTTGGTGTGTGTAGATCCGGTCAAACAGAGCCTCAGGAGCCATCCACTTGACTGGTAAACGACCCTGTGAGAAAAATGTTTGTCGTTACTTTGAGGTACGTTCTCCATAAAACTAGCATTTACAATTTTTCTTTTCTTTTCATTTTTTAACCAAAGCACAAGCTTTGAGAATACTCACATTTGTGGTCTTCTTATAGTAGTCAATGTGGTGGATATCTCTTGCCAGGCCAAAGTCAGCTATTTTCATCACATTGTCCTCAGTTACCAAAACATTACGAGCAGCCAGGTCTCTGTGGATGCACTAAAACAAAACAAGCACATTATGAAGACTGAACCCAAACACTCAGAAAAGGGTATCCTGATGCACGCTCAATAGTCCAGGTAGAAAAATCCCAAAAAGTTCAGTCAGGTCTTCTGGATGGGTTCAAAAAAATAAAAATAAAAATTGTAGAAACGTTTCGTCTTTCATCCGAAAGACTTCTTCAGTCTTCTTCAGACTAAAGAAGTCTTTCTTCTTCAGTCTTCTGAAGGAGTATTTTCTTCAGTCTTTGGACTGAAGTCTTTCTTCAGACTCAAGAAATACTTTTTCAATCTTCTTCAGACTAAAGAAATCTTTCTTTCTTTCTTCCATAGACTGAAGAAGTCTTTCTTCAGACTAAGAAATACTTTTTCAGTCTTCTTCAGACTAAAGAAATCTTTCTTCTTCAGTCTTCTTCAGACTGAAGTCTTTATTCAACTTGTCTGCTGGATTCCTTAGATAGAGAACTTTACTAATTGTCTTTTATGTGAATGTTTCTGTAAAGTGCCCTGAGACAACTTTGTTGTGATTTGGCACTATATAAATAAACTGAACTGAATTGAATTTATTCAGACTGAAGAAAGACTTTCAGTCTACTTCAGACTGAAGTCTTTCTTCTTCAGTCAGACTTCTTAAATCTTCTTCAGATTGAAGAAGTCTTTCTTCAGTCTTCTATAGACTGAAGTAGGGCTTTAACAGACTACTCGAGTAATCAACACATCGATTCCTAGGACATCTATCGAGTTTTTAAATTTCACGTTGAGTATTTGTGGTGACGTCATTACGTTGCCATTACGTCATTGCGTCACATGTCACGTGATCCGCACTGGGCGTGGGTTACAAAATAGATTCCTCCAAGCAGATAGATGGAGCGGAGCAGGCCCAGTCTTGGCAACAGATAGAAATGCATCAATAGTCTGGAAATATCTCACCAAAGATGAATCTTCTGGTTCAACTACGTAAGGAAACAGAAAATGAATCAACTTCCTGACTGGTTGGAGCTCGTTGAGAACTGGTGTTACACCATATTTTGTGACAGTAGGGAGCAGTGTTGCATGCACTGTTGCAGGTCACAGAATATGGTGTAACACCGGGTCCAGTTGACCGAACCAGAACCAGCTTCCTCTGACCTTGTTTCACAAACAAAAAGCAAAAATATTAATCTATAAACCTATAAAGACATGAATCTCTAAAACTAAACCTAATGCGCAGCACAGCTGGCGGTGGTGCGGGGTGGTCGACCGTCCCACTGTTTTTAGTTTCATTTTTTACGTGCCGCACGTTTCTTTCACTTTTGCAGCTTAATAATAAAAACTAATAGTTTTGTTTTTCCTGTGACTTATTTGCAGTGTAATAAATGGTAGGAGCATAATATAAGCTCCCAATGTTTTGTTGGTGTTTTTTGGTAAATAATGACCTTTTTTGAGATTTTATTTACTTGTTTTTGCATCTTCAGATTCTATGACGTCATCAAGTACTCGAGTTCTACTCAAGTTTTATTATGTTCATGTCGAGTTTAAAAATGATGTAGTCGTTCAACCCCTAGACTGAAGAAGTCTTTTCTTCAGTCTTCTTCAGACTGAAGAAATCTTTATTCAGTCTTCTTCAGACTGAAGAAGTCTTTCTTCAGTGAAGAAGTCTTTCTTCAGTCTTCTTCAGACTGAAGAAGTATTACAAAGAAGTCTTTCTTCAGTCTTCTTCAGACTGAAGAAGTATTACAAAGAAGTATTTCTTCAGTCTTCTATAAACTGAAGAAGTCTTTCTTCAGACGGAAAAAGTCTTTCTTCAGTCTTCTTCAGACTGAAGAAGTCTTTTGTATGAAAGAAAACTATTTTTGGACTCAGAAAAGGGGTTTAAGGCAAAAGGGCTGGCCTGATCTATGACTCAGTCTAAATGTAAACTTATCAGATTTTTGCCTGTTGGCTGTATTATGTAGTTACCTTTTTGGAAGCCAAATACTCCATGCCTCGAGCAACTTGGTAAGCACAGGACACCAGGTCTTTGATGTGCATGTTCTCCACAGGAACCTGGTCTGGGTTGTAACAGTACTCCATGCCTGGGGGACGCCGGGCTCGTAGGTACTCCCTCAGGTTGCCCTTGGATGCATATTCAACTATGACATACAGGGGACCTAGAATGTGTTAAAAGCAAATAGAAAGAATTAAAACAGAGAAAAGTTTGTTTCGTGCAGTTGTAACGAGGGTTAATAAAGAGACTACAGATATGAGAAAAATACTAGAGATGACAAGCACAAAACCATAGAAAACCTGCTTTTAGCTCATAATAAAAGCTGTTTTGTTTGGAACTGGATCAGTTTGACAACCAGCTTTTGACTGGACTTATTTCCCAGCCATAGTTACATTACTACATCACTTTATTTGCCCAATAAGACGGATCCTCCCCCTATAGGGTGTACTTGTTTTTTTAGAGGACCATAGTCACAAATTTGTGTCTAATTTATGAAAGCTCTACTAAAAATGTATTTGTGACTGGTCACTGCAATATTTACTTGCTTTTTTAAAATTTTTAGAATGGTAAAGTATTTTGCAAATCAAGCTGCAAATGAGATATATACTCCATTTCAGGAAGGTATAAAAGTCATCTGGTCACATGAAAACATTTATAAATGAATTTGGGATGGTTAGAAACAGCTTGTTAATGTGAAGGATCAAGCAACGTTCACAAACACATTCAATTAATAAGTTTTACATAGCAAAGCTACAGGCAGGTATAAGAAAAAACAGCACTTACAGACGGATGCTAAAATAAATACTTAAAAAACAAATTCACAGTTGTGCAGACAGTCAAAGTAGGACTAAAGACTTTGTTGCAGCTATGTACACTGTACAGTCAGAAGTTAGCTTTCCTCATTTTTTTTAAGTTTAATGTTTGGAGAGGAAGGGTAGCAGCTGTTGATTCAAGCTGTGAGCTCCGAAACTGGTGTCAGAATCATTTATGCATGCTTTCCTACACATCCTCCAGAGTGAGGCTCACAGCAGCCCTCTTGTCTAGGGGACTGACAGTGAATGTGTGTGCTGGTCTGTGTCGAACTGAACGGTCTGTATCAGGCCCCTACTCGTCTTATCCTACCATCCTGTGTGCAGGCTCCCAGCAGATTAATGATGTTCTTGTGCTTCCCAATGATCTTCATCATCTCCATTTCTGAAATCAAGTCTGACAGGTCTTTCTCTGTGGCATCAGCTGTAAGGAAAGAAAATAAAGTAATTAGTCCACACACTGCTGCTGAAAAAACCAAACCATGACTTCACAATTACGATTGCAAAATATAAACAGCAACACTGCAGCTGTTTAAAAACAGGCTGGTGTTTGCACTATGCACCCTGGGGACAAGCACTTCAAGTACAGACAATAAATGCTACTTGCATGCCATCGTCGCTCCTCTAAGCAGTTTAATGAACACTGTTTTATATGGAATGTCAAGGGTTCTCATAAATTTTTACTCCACTCTCCCATTTGCACAATGGCAGGAATCCAGCAGAGGAAATTGTTCATCCCAGTTCAAAGCTTTTATTGTCCTTAAAACCTGGACATGGAGCTACTGTATTACTTGTTTACTGAAATAATTTACTTACGTTTCAACATTTTCACTGCGACCTTGGTCACGCGATTTGGCTTTTCTTTGTCCAGACCTATTGCCTCCCCCATCACCACCTGACCAAAGCAGCCTTCTCCCAGTGGCTTTCCTAGAACAAGTCTGTGAGCAGGAGGAGAGAACAGTGGAGCAACTCAAAATCTGCAAATTTGTTCAGTTGTTTCCTCAATCAGTATGGTAAACATTTCAATCCCTTGTCTATCCCTTTTCGGACAAGAAATATATAAATGAGCAAAGTTTGAATAGCTACATTATTTGTTAACGTAATAACACTTGTCTCAATTTTCCTGAACAGCTGTTCAGAAGCCTAATTGACCTGTTGCTGCTGTGTGTGGATGTTGACATGATGCCATCAGTCAAAACTTTGGGTTGCAAAATGTTACAAAATCCAAACTCCAATGTCAAAACATCAAAAATGTTCAAATATGACAAATATATTTACCGGTAGTTGCTGCCTGAAGGGCTATTTGAAAGGGGCTTATATTTATACAGATATTTAAGATTTAAAGATCCCAGTTTGCATCAAGTGATACATTTTGAAGCAGCCATAGAGCTATCGCTAGCACTTCAAGTCAAGTCAACTTTATTTATAGAGCACATTTAAAACAGAAGCTGTTACCAAAGTGCTACCAAAGCAGTCTCAACTATGTAGATGTGACAAAAGCCTATAGTCTATGCTTCCCCACTAGTTACCTTGAGCTGGAAAAGACTGACAACAAAAGTAATACAATCATTGTATAACCTGTAGTTATTTTTAAGCAGGCAGTACTGGTTGTCTTTTGGAAGACTGTATACAAGTCTGTCTTTTGTAAAATGGATTTCCAAAGCAAAACACAGGCTAATACAAGTCACTATGAAAAAGTTTTAAATTGTTACATTAAGTTTCTTTGAACATACTTGTCCCTGGGAAGCTCCCATCGAGGATCCTGAGGTAGTTCATACTCAGATACTCCAGACAGCATCGGAGTTCCACTGGAGGAAAGGCGGGAAGGACGGACCAGCATCACTCCTGAGTGGATGGAAGAGCTGGAGTCCACTGAAACCTGAGGTAAGAAACAGGAACATTACTCTTCTCAAAGTGGAACAGACACCAGTAGCAGAAGTTTAGTTAGCTTGAAGCCCACCAAATAAAAATGTAATACGGTTACTGTACTTCCTGAAATTCACAACATTTTGTAGTTTGGGGTTAGCACTCCTCAAGTACTTACCCAAAAGTCAAAGACCATCAGTATTTATTAAACCTGAAAACTATACAAATGCATTTCCCCCACACAACAACAACGCCAACAAGTCTGTTGTTGAAATGTGCACAAATCAAGCAAGAATTTGTTTAGACAAAGCTTTTGATTGACCAGAATTAAAAAATATAGAAGAAAAGGTGGGAAAGTATAAAAATGCCAAACCCCCTATCTACTTTCTGTTACCTGTCTGCGCAGCGGGATGCTTTTGGCCAGCTTGTGGACAGCCAGCTGACTGTTGAAGTCACCCTTCTTTGAGGAGGAGCGCATCTTGACCATTATGGCAATGGCAACCATGGTGGCGATGATAAAGAAGCCCACACAGTAGATGACCACCTCCAAGTAGGTGGCGCTGGCTGGCGGGTAAGGGGTGGCAGCTAAATGAGGGGGCAGGTTGAGGTAGGGTAAGCAATCATAAAATAAGTACATATACACACCCAAGTACACAAACAAACTCTCAGCAACACAAAACCAATACCACCCATCACACTCAGTCACACACACTAATATCTATAAGCCAGAGCTTTGATCTGTAGAACAGAAAAACACTATTTTTGTATTTAAAGTTTTATGTGCCAAGGATCTGGCTTTTAAACAGACTATCAATACATCACACAACTGTACTGCTCAAGTAACATTTCATGTGTACTGATAGGGCCGAAGCAGCATGTCAAAAATGGCATGTGCTCAGTGCTACAATTTTATAGCTTGTCTCGACCCATGCGATATCTGATGACACATCACTTTTCATAAAGTAATTTAGAGTTTTGTTTGCAATATCATTTTTACGTGAAGAAAAAAAAAGTTCCAATTGAGATGTTTTTTTCCTCCCACTCAGTGAAAACACCAACATTTATTTAAACCAGTTGAAGAGGTGCAACAATTCAGAAAAAAAATATTTGGTTTGGAATACATTTTAGTTTGAGAGGCAACCTTGTGCACAGGAGTCAGAACTCAGATACTAATAGTTAATATTGAAGACATCGGCTCTCACTGACGTGGTCGTGAGACTTTTCAGGGACGATTTATACTTCGGGAAAGTCTTCGTAAGCGCTCTCACTGCAGCACATGCCACACAGAAACAGAAATGGACAGCACGATTGGAAAGTGTATGTCTAATTTTAGTTGGAGGAAGATTATCTGGCATTTCTGCCATTTATATCTTTTAGTTCAATTAAGATAGGTATTTCTGTCAGTAACTGAAGAAAATAACTTTTTTTATTTGACGTGAAGAGATCGTTTCCGACCAACGGTGTTCCGACGGTTCCCAGCCTAGGCACACTCCCACCGACAGCACAGCCATGGAGTCACTGCCACCGTCTATTCCATGAAAAAAAAAGAAAAAAACTTGTTCAATCTTCTTCCACAAGCTCTTTCACTCTCTTTATAAATTTTATTTGATTATCTTTAAAGGTTTTGCTGGAAGAGTTGTAAAGATGGTGATATTTTCTAACTGCCGCGGCCGAGTACTTGGAGGAAATGAGAGCAGTGTACCGCAGCCACTTTTCAGTATTTACACGCCTACCAAGTTCTGACCAATCGCAATGTGTGGCGTAGACCATTTATTTTGTTGATCAAAATGTTTTATACAACTCTCCTGAGTTAAAATGTTGCTGATCAATTTGAATTTATTATTATTTATTGATTATATTTCATTTTATTTTCCAGTATTGAATGGTCAAAAATGTTTAAATAAGGATAGATTTTTTTTATTTAAGGCAAATTGATGTACTTTAAGCCTTTTCTGTTACAGACTAAAAAACGATGTCAATAAAGTTATTATTTGTTGTAAGTTGATCTATATTTCTTTTTTGTTTTCTTTAATGTTAATAAGGATACAATGTTATGCAGCTGTGTACTTATAACAATTTCATAGACAAATTATACTATTTACAGTCGCGGCGGAGAGTTGAGCGGCGCGAAATGTTTACTTCTTCCTAGTGGGGGCGTAACAGAAAATACAGTAGTCCCTCGATACTTCACGGTTCGTTTATCACGGATTTGCTCCATCGCAGTTTTTCAAAATAAGATTGGACATGACAGACAATTGGCTGATTGATGGATGAGCCACACGATCAGCATGACATTTTTATTTAAAATTAATTTTTTCAAATTATTTAGCACCTGCTGCACATTTGTGCAGTCCAGAACTGCAGAAAAAGCTACCTCCTGCAGCTTTGTGCAGCCCATACTACTGCAGCATAAACTTCCTGTCAGAGTTAAACAGCTGATCAGATGTTCAGGTGCAGAGAAGTGGGCGTGGCCAAGAGCACTTGCAGGTGGCAAAGGAGGCAGGGAGCTGAAATCATGACATTCTGTGCTCTGTTAGAGCGTTTAGAGTTTAGAAACATTGTTTAGAATATTGCAAGAGTGTGGGAAGGGTTTAAAACGCCTTAATATATATCTTTATAAATAATAAAATATACCACTATTTAATACTTGTACTACTATTCCTACTTTGAGGTTTTTCCACTTATGACGAGTCTTCAGGGTATGGATCCCCTGCGATAAACGAGGGACTACTGTAATTGAAAAGAACTGCTTTTTGCAAATGACATTGTATCTTAAACTACTTGTGCTGAAAGGACTCCACGTTGCCTCTCAAACCATGTATACAACCTGAAGCGCAAACCACTAAATACAAAACGGGCAACGCAAGTGGGTTACACCTGTGTGAAAAGGCTGATCGACAAGCAGCTTGATAATTGAAGGAATGTCCATTCCAGTATCCTGAGAAATGAGACATCCACTGCAGTGAGCCAATTATCAAAGCCAGCCACTGTGTTAGCAGGAAATGACATAGCAATAGATGTCATTTACAGTCTTGTCAAAGAAAAATCAGCCTTATACACTTTAAATGCAAACACCCATTAAAGAGCAGAAAAGGAGAGACAAGTGAAATCTGATCAGTGATGCCAAACAACGCTTAAATAAATTTAAGCTGCCTGGATGAAAACATTATGATTTTTTTAGTTTTGTTTTAAGCTCCAGATAGCTTTTGGGCTGTTTGGCATTTGCTGATTTAATTGTAGAAACAGCAGAGCATGCCTCCTTCTCTACCCCATCTTGAGAATTAAGATGGAGCTGAAGTCATGCTGAGCTCAGAGACAGGGGAGAGTTTTAGTACTTGTAATGTGCCCTGGCTTCTTTTCACATTTATCTCCAGAAAATGCAGTAAAATACACTTTTCTGGTAAATGAAGACAGCCAGGCTTGGGACGGAAAAAGGGAAATTTTGAAAATGTAAGAGACAGAACCACTGATACCTTCCAAAACGGTCAACCATGCAGAGTGATGAGAGAACCCGATAGAATTGCCCGCCAAGCAGGTATACTCCCCAGCGTCATCAAAAGACACATTTCTCAGTTGAAGAACTTCCATTTCCTTGTCCGTGGTGTTAAGGCCAGCAGTCTAGAAAATAAAGGAAGTAGACCAAACAAGGTCCAAGAGGGAAATGGGACCATGAGCAAAGAATTCTGAAAGAGAAGTGTTCTCCTCAGTCCAACACCATCTGCCCAAAAAGTAAAACACCAAAAGTTCCTACAGAGGACTCTGTCAGAAGAGCCCTTCAGTATCTTGTTAGTGGAAAAACATGGTCGGGTTGAGTCTGTCTTGTTGACCTTGACATTGGGTCACACCATCACCACATAAAATACCTCAGTTTCATCTCTACATGCAAGAGATGGGCATGGAAAACTCCACAGCAGAACAGGGCACACTCAACAGTCAAACATAAGCTACTCTACATAAACAGGAAAACAAGTAAATGTTAAAAAAAAAATAGAAAAAGATATGGGGCAAAAGAAAGGAAAGTACGGTAAGTTTGAGTGCAGAGAGGGTTTTGATGGGCATGGAAGCAAGAGTAATAGAAGATGGCAAGAGAGGCCCTTTTTAGGAGGGCAAGGCAAAGGCTTGGGGCAGGAATGAGAGTGGGTCCAACATAAACCTGAGACTAAACACTTTCAACTGTTCTGCTGGGAATTTTCCATAGCGTCATTTACAGTCAGGAGCTCTGAGGAGAGAGGAAGGGTGAAACAGAGGGAGGAGAGAAACAGCTGAGGTTGTCTCCGGTTGTAAGACTAGTTTTTCCAGGTGGTCCTAGAAACGCTTCCTTTGTGTCGTCCTGGTACTGCTGCGTGGTGGTTACCTGAAGGGTCATATCTGATGACAGTCAGCCAGGCTGACTGATTGGCCTCTCCTATATAATTGGACACTTTACAAATATACTCTCCACGCTCCTCCTCAGTCACATTGTAGAGGGTGAGCACCTGAGCGTCCGAGCTATTCACCCCTGAATGCTAGATATAAAAACAAGTCATGTGCAGGACAGCAAAGTAAAAACAGCAGACAATGCACAGTGGGTTTGTGAGAGGTTTGGAAAAGAAATTAAATCCTCTTAACAGGTAGTTCTGGACAACAAACAAGAAGGATTTGCATATAGCAATAAATGAAAATTATAAAATCATTCCATGCAAAAATCTGTTTGCAAGAAGCATCACTAAAACTGTAAAAAATAAAAACAGACAGCTCCTACCTTGAGGACGCGGACGTAAGGTAAACCATCAGGTCCAACACGACTCCCATTAACTTCTATATGTTTGAGCCACTGAATATGAGGCTGAGGATCACTGAACACCTTGCACTCAAACTCCACATCGCTGCCTACCACTGCTGTGCGATTTGCTGGCAAGCCAGCCTGCAAGATTGGCCGATGGGGGGAGCGCTCTGCACACCAGAAAGTAGCAGAAATAATTTACAATAAAGTAGCAGAAATAGTTAACAATAAACAAATACAGATACAAAGATTACTAACTAAATAAAACCTTTGTCAAATTGAGGCTGGAGACAGGAACTCGCTAGGGCTATGACCAACAAGTTGACTGAATTATGAATAACTGCGCAATTTCAGAAAACCAATTCTGAAGGTTAGAGAAAGTTGAACTAGATGGGTAAACATTTCAGCATCACACCACTGTAAATTTAAGCTCCTGTAGCTTTATTTTGATGACCAATTGCACTCTGAAGCAAACTTACAGCCCAAATAATATGCAAGAATGTCTGTCGTGTGCAAGTTTTTATTTTCACAATGACATTCTTCAGCACTTAGTAAGCACTTGTAATCACACTTTCCTCCAACTAAACACACTCAGTGCTCATCTGGCTCGAGACCTAAGCTTGGAACATGGAAAGCCCAGTGGACAGCAGCAATCGAGGACGTAGGACTGATTTATAAGACCAGCAGCACAAGAGCGAGTCGAAGGGCAGGCCCAAGAGGGGTAATTACTTCTCTCTTCTACACAGACCCATCACTCAAGTCCATCAAAAACTGTACCAACACTGTAACTTTATGGTGCTGGGATCACATTTGTCTGGTACGTTACTTTCAGAGGTTTTCCATAACAAACTCACCAAAAATCTAGAGCAGAGATTAAAAGTTCTTGGAAAAGAATGTACAATTATGTTTAGAAGGTCATGGATTCAATCCCCAGTTTGGACCTGTATGTCCTCCTCGTGTTTGCATGGGTTTTCTCCAGTTACTCTGGTTTCCTCCCACAGTCCAAAAACATGCACGTTAGACTGTCTTCAGACCCAGGCCTCCCTTACAAAAAAGATCTGCGATCTCAATGGGATTTGCCTGGTTAAAAAAAAAGATAAAATAAACAAATCTTTAACTTACCGACTACATCGAGCTGGTAGGTGTGATTAATGCTGCCATACTGGTTTTCCACCACACAGGTATAGTTACCCTTATCAGAGGGTACTACAGATTCCATGATGATGGTCCACACATGGTCACGGACCTAAATACAAGAGAAAAAAATGGGGATGAGGACAACAGTTCACTGTGTGAGAAAGATGAAAAGGGCTATTGGAAAAAATACACCAATGTAAAACACAACCCTTCAGCTGCCTAATCAAACAAAAACTACTAGAGAAAGGAACATGTTTTAAAGGTATGTGCCCCTACCTGTCCTATTAGCACCAACTGATGTCTGGCTTCTTTTTTCCAAGACATGTTACAATTTTTTTTCCATAAATCTGCCAAGACCGGCAGTGTGTGATTTGCCAGCAAACCTCTAAGGCAATGGTAACATCAAACATGCATACACACAGGCTGAGCCATACAGTCTCCCTCATTTAGCTAAAATACGTGATGAGGGACTCCAGCTGCCTGCTGCCAGATGTGTTGTGCTTGGCTTCATATACATGTGGTCTACATTACTCCATCACTCCTGCACGTCTCTATTCAGACGATATGAATGGAGGCCCCGTCATAAAAGCAAAAGCGTGGGAGGGGTGGTGGATGACTTTTAGACGCTCACGTGGACCTTTGCACCTTAACTGAAAAGTGGAAAAAAATGAAATGAAAGAAAAAATAAAAAAAGATCTGCAGCCACTTGGTTAAATGTGCAGACTGGCTTGGTGGAGGTTTTAGGGGAGATAAGGGCAGCTAAGAGGAAACTCCTAAATGTTTTCCAGCTGTGGAGGGATATGGCTGGGGAAGCTCAGCACAAGACCGGATTAGCCTCCACCTTGATGGGAACAGCAGACGTGCGGAAGAAGGTTATTGCTTTGTTAGACACCGAGGACACATCCCACAACTGTAAGCAAACTACAGCTGACTGCAGCTTCTAAAAAAAATAAGAAAGAAAAAGATTCTGGTTTGGGTAATTTTGTAAACGAATTAGGTTCTAATGCTTTTGAAAGCATAAACTGAATAACAAACATTTCATGGAAATAAAGATAGACAAGTTTTTAAAAGAGGAGCACTTGAGGGATTATCTATACCGTAAATATCAGGATGGCATTTGCAGTACACAGAGTAATGCAACAGACCCTACTCAAAACCCATGCATGTCGCTTGTACGTAAATCCAGAGATAGGAGTTAACAATCTTATCTACATTTCTAACTAACAGACTTTGGAACGCCTCTGAATACAGGCTGTCAGCAAACAAAGAAACTCGGACACAAACAGTAATCACATGTTACAGGAGGTACCATGGTAAATTCACTACTGCATGGATGTAATTACAGAGACAACGATCAGTGACACCTGGAATGAGGGCAGTCAGTGTTTTTCTTCAAATGGGGAGCTAGAATTGCCCATGTACAAATATAACTGTGGCACAACATTCCTCCTGGTGGCATAGGGTTTCAACTAGCATTGTTTCTCAGGTCAACTGTGAAACCTGCCTCTCCTTTTCATTTACAGAAAGCATTTTTAACTCAAAGGGAAAGGGCCTACTCCACGCTACCGTGGAGATGAAATTATAAACAAATCCTTAATCATACCTGCAAACTCAGAAGGGATAAAAAAGGTTACAAACCTAGCGCCTGCCTCTTTCATGCCCATTGGTGTCAGAAGCATGTGTAATGTTGGGGGGCAGGGGGTTCTTTCCCAGAAATTTTTGAATAAAGTAGATGCCATTTCAAGCATTCTAGTGTATTTCAACAGGTTGTTAAACATCTACGTTTACCTACATATGTAAATACCTGATTCAACTATTTTAGAGAACAAAACAAAATTGTCAGGTCCTCTGGACGGATAAAAAAAAAATATATATATATTTTTAATTATTGATCATGCATCAGGATATTTTAGAGACACTACATTCAACTAGTCCATATATTCAACTAGTCCATATATTCAACTAGTCCATATAGGCATCATCCTGTTTTTAAACTCACTCCTATGGCTAAGATAATGAAATCAATGCGACAATTTATCACAAACAATGACTTTAGGGGTGGACTTGACTTTTATTTTGTTAAATTTTTTATTTAGTTCTATTGTAACAAAAGCGCCCTGCGATGGACTTGCGACCCGTCCAGGGTGTACCCCGCCCCTCGCACAGTGATTGCTGGACATGGGCACCAGCGACCCCCGTGACCCAAAATGGAACAAAACGGGTAAAGATAATGGATGGATGGATGTAACAAAAGCCACTGTGCTAAGCAATGGTGACACTGAATTGCATGTTTATACAACATTAACTTAAACGAATGAACAGGTGACATTTTAATAAGCACAAACAGTGAATTTAGGAGGGCATTTTACTGTTTTCTGATTTAATGATAGACCTGCTCATAAAAGAAAATGACCTGGCATCATGCAGCCTTCACAACTCTAAATTACACTGTGCCAAGCAATAGTGACACACAAAAAACATGTTTAGTCAGTTTTGTCAACCTGCATGTAATTATTAAAACAAAATAATTTATAGGTTCCTACATTGGTGTCACAATTTCTACACTTCATAACTTTTATTCTCCTTTCCTTCAGTCCACTTGGAACAACATCCATCCCCTTCTCTCATTGTTTTCCTTTCCACATTTCCTTTCACATCAATGATTTTATCAATTTTATTTTCCAGAAAACTTGTGTTACTTGGGTTCTTTTTCCATCTTTCTCCTTCAATCCTTGAAGGTATTCCTCCATCACCAACACCATCAGCTGAACTTTTCAAATCTTAAGGAAAAAATCTTGCTGCGCAAAATACAGACGCGCTATCTAAGATGCTACATGCTCTGTTTCTCTCACATCCTAACCCCGCCTCCCCGCCGGTCAACAACTTTCCGTAAGCTAGCGCGCAACACGGAGGTATCTCCCCCTCTTCCCCTGCCCGGTCGACAAAAAACCCCGAATAGATGAGCACCTGCTGAACCAAGTGACCGAGGAGGAACAATATGTCTTAAAGGGAAATGATGCCATCCACCACATCACTGACCCCACACCCCTAAAAACAAAAGACTCTTTGGAGCCAGACGATTCACGGAAATGACATATTTTAGTCTGAAATAGACTAATTTTGCCAAAAAGCTACAAGTTTATAGGTATGCTTAATCTAATCTAGTTAAAAATGTGCTTGGTAGTGTTAATAAAAAGAACATAAAACATTTACCTTGAATCCTCCAATGCGATGGTCTCTCTTGAACTCCTTCCCATTCTTGAACCATTTTAGAATGGGAGTTGGGTTCCCACTGGCCTGGCATCGAAACTTCACCGTCTTACTGGCTGGAACAGCATGAAGCTGCTTCAACATTTTTTCTGGATGAGCCCATTGTGGAGCCATCGCTAAATAAAATAAAATATATATATTTATACACATTTTTTAAAGAACACATTTTTAACTTTAATAGCACAAGTAAAATCAAGTTAATAACACTTAACCCAAGATTTGAAAAATTATACATTAACAAAAATACACTTATAAAAAGAAAACTTAAACGCTAAACACGATCATCTTGAATTAAGAACACAAATGAAGATGCTCATAAATCAAAGTACTGTTACTAGATGTAGCTGAAATGCTGGGCAGCAGTTGGACCACAGGAACCTCTTCTAGGACAGAGTCTTTTGTAACTCTGCTTGATTATCCATTTTCAGTGCAAGAACCAGGCGCTAAAAAGGGTTTCTCTGGTGAAATGATCTCAACTTTGAATTATTTTGCAAGAATGTCTGTGGCATTCAAACGGCGTTTGCTTTTAGATTAAAATGTCCCTTCAGCTGCTTCACAGTCTCAGTCATGATTGTACTTTCCACCTTTAGATTTTTTAAGATTTGTTTCATTTGTTCCTTTCTTTGGAAGTGCAGCTGACATTTGAATTAAATCTAGGGGTGAACCCAATCTGCTGCAGGTTTGATGGGACAATCGGGACTAAATAAATTTATATTCAAATTTTATTTACTGGTAAAAAAAAAATAATAATAATACAAGTCAATAATTTAACTGATGATAACCAGGTGATTTTGTAAACTAACAAAAATAACTTCAGAAACTGGAGCTGTCAGCCAAGATGTGATGTGTAAAATTCATTGGGAGATAAGGGAACAAACTCAAGGTCGGCATGCTTTTCATGCTTGGCAGCTTCAGGATTCTTTGTTGGCTGAATGGGAAGTAGCAAGAAGATGAAAAAGCCAAAGTATCTTAATTACACTATAGACAAATTGGGGAACATCCAAGGTTAACCATGATTAGTCACTGCAGGGACATTAATCATGTGAAAGCTGTCACTGAGGCAGTAAAGATCCCGATTCCAAATGAAACCATTCATCCAGTGGTGACCCACACACACGGCAGGCCTATAATTGAATTATGAAGCACTGAAATCATTGAATATTTGTAACAATTCCTCAGAAACCTCACTTTTGGTCAGTCAAAAACCACAATGGTAACTTGCAGAGATGTGATCACTCACGCATAAGTTTTTGACTGGCTAGCTGTTTGTTTTCCTCTGATGAAGACTCCTCCTCGTCATCATCGTCCTCGGATGAGGCCAAGGCATCAACTAACAAACAAACAAACAAACAAACAGAGAGCCCACGTCAATCTTTCAACGTCTTGCCGTTATTTAAAACAAAGTCAGACTGTACAGACACACTCAAAAAAAAAAAGTTTACTCTAAACTGAGCAACATGCCAACAACAGCAGCTTTTTTTGTTCCAAGCTAAATAGATTTTTTAAAGGAGTAAATGTTTTGGGTGGCAAAGCTTAATGAAAGTTTTTGTAAAAGCTTGTGAATGTTTGAAACACACCTCTAAGAACAAACCTACAGTTAGCAGATATAGATTAGATTTCAGACACAATGTAAATGTAACTTGTGTTTTTAGTCTGTGTTGCTTAATCTTAAAAAACAACTATACACAAACAAATTTAAACTAAAAAGAGCCTCACAATTGGCCACAAAAAAGTGAACAACGCATTTACCATAATTGCCGGTGTATAGAATGCACCTGACTGTAAGACGCGCACATTTAAAATAAAACACAATTTTGTACATAAATAATACGTGCTGGTGTTTAAACTGTGTGAGTCCAAAAATTATTATTATAAACTGTTCAAAGCTCCTGGTAGAGTGTGCAGCTCTTGTTTGAGTGCAAGAATGATCCGCCAGTGGACGTTTCCTAGAAGTTGATTTGCCTTCCACACACCGACTGCGTGATTCTCACAGGACTTCATGATGGGACGCTCTCTGACTCATGGTTAACGGTAATCTACAACGGTTAATAACCATTCAACCCACAGAATGAACATAAACTAGTCTAAGCAGAACACACTTCCAGTAATCACTGGAGAGAACAGTGCTAAACACCTACGTAACAGAAATTATTTTTAAAATGTCCATACCAGTAAATTTTATGCACAGATCGTAATTGAGGTCATGTGACCGGCAGTACCTGGAAAAATGCTACAGTACGGTAAATCTATTAAACAAACTTACTGCCATGGATTTTTATTAAGCACATTTTGGTAAGAGCTGCTGTTTTTAAAATGTGCTTTCTGCTCCGCAGCGCACGAGTGTCAGAACATAGTGAAGTCACGGAGAGGGGGAAACCCCCTTCCCATTCCCTCTCGCTGAAAGCAATATTTACCTTAGACAGATTTTTAAAAAACTTTTAAATGCCGTATGTACCAGTAACATACCATAAAATGGGCTACATGTGTAAATGTTTTTTTTTAATGCCCTTAACACAGCTGTTAAAAAAAAGGTCAGATGGAATTTTCCTCCTCCTCGTAGTCTGAGGTGACCGCGACTACGTCCCCTTTTGGACGAATGTCGTTTCTGTGGCCATTTTTAATTGTATGGGGTTTTCCAGTCAGAATATGCAGGGTGCTGCAATCGTGCCGTTTCAGGTTTTTAATTTTATTTTTTACTTTACGGGTATTTCAGTTCAATTCAGTTTATTTATACAGAGCTAAGTCACAACAGAAGTTGTCTCAGGGCACTGCACAGGAAACATTCACTTACATAAAAAGTCAGTTAATATGTTATTTATCTAAGGAGCCAGCCGATTTTTTAAACAGAAATTCTGATAAATGCAGGTCTATCTTGGGGGTGAATTTACGTAACTCAGTGAGTACAGTACCATGAGTGAGATGTATCTGTCAAGAGTACCTATGGCAGGGCTATTCAACTGAACTACTCGGGGCCACAGTTACTGAAATCCAAGAGCTCAGGGGCCACACATCCAGCACTTATTCTTAATGAGCATTTTTTTTAATGGTTTAAAATGCAGTTTTATTTAAACCATTGATGGGACGAAGCCAGTTGAATAGTCTATAGCATTACTGTAACTCTGTATCACAAAAGTCCGCCCCTAAGAGGTGTTTTCATTCAACCTTTATTTAGACAGGTAATCCCATTGAGCCTCGTTACTAAGCCACAGACTCATTTTGTGTCAGCTCTCCATTAAAGCGGAAGGAGACGCCAACTAGAGGGTTGGAGGGTGAAGTGTTTCAGTGTCAAATGCTGCTCTGTTGCTGTTCATTAAGTAAGACTGGAAACTGTTAACATATTATTTTGTTGGCTAAAACTACATTTTATATATTTTGCACTGTTTTGCACTACAAGCAAGAAGCCGAATAGTTGATTTGTTTATTACTTAAAAACTCTCTGGACCTAGTAGTGGAATTTTTTTAATTCAAAATATATGATAGCAAAAGGACACCCTATGCTTTAAAAAAAATTCCTATTAAGTTTTATACCCAAAACATATCGCGATATATATCGTGATATGAATTTTATGCTATATCACACATTCCTAGTAGGAAGCTTGGCAGCCTGCCAAAATAAAGTATAAAAATAAAATGAAATATAATATAAAAAATAATACATAAAGTAGCCGTTCCTTTATATAAACTGCAGGGCCCAAAGCGTGAGAAAAAAGTAGCGACTTATACACTGGCAGTTACGGTAGATTAAAAATACGTAACTGCAAAGTATTGAACAACTTTCTTAAATAGGATTTTAGAACACAACTAGAAAAAAATATATAAAGGTTCAAGACAGAAGAAGGCAACAAAGTAAATTTTCTAGTTTTTACAGCTTTACCTGTGATGTTAAAATAGACGCTATGGTTGCCAAATGTTGTGCATCCATACAAGCCAGAGTCGGTCAGCTCCACGGTCTCAATCTCCAGCTGCCCACTGCGGATCCTAGTGTGTTCTCCATCTACAAGAACAACATGGTCTTTGGTCCAATTCACAGTTTGAAGGGAATCCTTGAGGGGGCAGCTCAGATCCAGGCGATCCCCAGGATAGAGGGTGAACAGCTCGGCTTCCGTAGAGACTACAAAGAAAAGCAGACGTTTGTTAGTGACTTTTTAACAACTCATGACACATTTTGCATAACTTTAATCATCCACTCCAAGAGCCTAAAGCCAACTGGTATTTTGCTGTAAAAAGAAGAAAAACAGCACCCATGTGTTGTGCAGACAGTGATTCAATTTCTGTGAATACAGTCACGGCTGGATCAGAGGCACAACAAAGGCATGAATAGGAAAAGAGAAGGGGAAAAAAAAGGGGGGGGGGCTTTATTTTTGTTCAAACTAAGATGTACTTAGTGTATAAGACAAATCTTTAAGAAATGCACAATGATTCTTAAGAAGAAAAAAGTTGGTTTAAAACACAGAAATGCACATGTACTGTAAAACAAAAGTAAAAAAAATACACAAAAGTTCTTTCTTAATTTCCTTCTACCATGTCTATATAAACTCTTTGAATAATTAAATTGCATCTCAAATTAGTAAGCCTCATATTCAGCTAAGCAAGGAGCTACTTGGGGAAAGGAAGGTGAAATTTGATTAAAAGAATGAAAAGATAGGTGTTGAGAAGGGAGACACCTGAGCCCCTCTGTTCCAAATGACTACATAGGCTGGGAGGAGGAGGTAGTAACCCAATTATGCTGACACACTGTCCATCACAGCGTGCCGTTTGTCTAGTTACAGGCGTGAAGATCGTCTCTGACCAACTTGCTTGTAAATGAATGTAGAGAATATGCAGCAATGATTAAATAGTGTCCAAATTATGTACAAAGCGGCTTCTATAGATGTTTTTATGAAAAAGGGAAAATAAAAATTCTAAAGCTCAAGGCGACTACACTTGGAATCCATACAATCAATATTTTAAACTAAAAAAATATATACATTTAAGATTATGTAGTGTCTTCCCATTTAAAAGCTGAAAATTTGACTTTGTGGAAATAATTTCAACCACAAATGTACATTAACCTTACACTGTCTGAACAATCTGTTAGTTGAAAACCATTTCTCTTCTAGCTGATTGTTCCGTTTTAGCCAAGGAGCTTCTCCAAAGTCCCTTAAGGCAACATTTAGTGTGTCCTCTTTTCTCATTCCCTACATAGCCCCTTTGGCATAAACACAAAAATTGAATTGGATAATCAGATACCACAGTGGTGAACAATCCTTCAACATATGATTACTCTGAACCATTTTCAAAGAACATGTTTTTTTTTTTTAATCCACTTCCTCCGATTCACAACAGGAAGCACATCTTTACAGAATAATATCAGGACAACATCAGCAAACCTGGCTAATCCCTTCTACCATGACAACAAAAGGACTTCAAACAATACAGGGGAAGGGAAAACAAGAAGAGTAAGTCAGCGTCAGCGAGCATGTGCGCAGCAGCGAGAGCGGGCTTGCAGTGGCAGGTTCTAGTGCCAGTTGCTATGGTGACCCCACTTGGGCCTAGTAAAGGTATTTCCTGGATCACATGTGTCTGACAGGCCCTTAATCCCAGCAGGAAAAAGGGGCCAGGGGGAAGGATCAACTTTCTCCTCAAAGTCGAACTATGAGGGGAAGAAGCTGCATTTAGAGCCCATCTACATCAAGCTGTTTAAATTTATAAAGGAATGATAGTATAAAGAGGGAGCCAGGGGGGATGGACTGTGCTTTGCAATTATAGTAGAAAGTCTGAAGTCGCTTTTATCTCTCTGGTTTCCAGACCAGAGAGGAGGGGGGAAAAAACAAAACAACCAATTAGATTCTTTGCTTTCCACACAAAACTGAGATGAGGTCAAATAAATACATCCTACATTCTGAATGGCATTTTGCTGACTACTTAGCTTTTGATGTTTAATGAACTGAATGTGGGGTGTACCACAAGGCTCAGTCTTAGGACCCATCTTCACAATCTACATAAGTAATGTATGTCAGACCATTCCTGATGCATCCTTACATTTCTATGCTGACGACAGTCGTTTATTGTCGAGCTAAAACAGTTGCTAAGGTTTTCCAGCTTTTACAGTATGCATTTGACATCATCCAGTCAGATTTGTTCCATCTCAAACTTGTGCTAAACGCTGACAAAACCAAAGGGATGTTGTTTTCAACCAGGAAGTCAGTACCAGCAGTCCTGACTTCTATCTTATCTACAAATGGTGTTCCTACTGAGTTTGTTGATTCTTTAGAATTTTGGTCGATGCACATCTCCCTTTTAAGCATCATGTTGAAAACTTGGTACATGCTCCTGCAAACACCTTACAGATGTTGGATGCTATCTACCGTTGTGTGCTAAGTTTCATAACTGGCTGTGACTACCGTACTCATCATTGCATTCAGTATTCATTGGTCAACTGGTCATTAACTTCACGCCGACTCTCAGACTGATAGATTTTCATCTTTAAATCACTCCTTGGTCTGCTGCCTTCATACAGCTCTTCCTACATGTCACTTCATCAGTGCAGCTACAGCGTGCGCTCCCAAGACATTACCTGCAGTGTACCCTCAGTGAAGACCGAATTTGGCAAAAGGGCCTTCTCGAGGTATTCCTGTAACCTGAAAAACCTTGAAAAACTATCTGAAGCTCTCAACTCTGACCTCCTTAAGGGATTTATAACAACTCTTAAGTTCAATGCAAAAATCAATACAGACATGTTCCTGTTTTTAGTATTTTACACTATAATGTACAATGTTTCTTTTATTTTGTTTTGTATCACTTATTTTATTTACTTGTCATTTTATATGCTTTTATATGATTTTGTATTTCTGTGTGTACCTCATCTGTGTCTTTTATTTATAAACAGGTCTCCCTTGTAAATGAGTCCCTGTAAATGAGTCCCTGTGACTCAACAAGGCTAACCTTTATAAATAAAAGGTTGAATGAATGAAAAAAATAAATAAATCTACAAACTTAGGCTTGTTTATATTGTGACCTGTGTTTAAGTAAGTTTAAGTCCGCTTGTCTCATGCATTCTCCCACAGTCGACAACTGCCGGCACTAACGTAACGTTAAATAAGCGTGACTCACAGATGTGTCCTGTGTAAAGTAAGAGTAAATACGTCTTTACAGAAAAGTGCAATTGCCTGGATTTTAAACTAGATTTGCCGTGTCCTGGAAGGCTTAGAATCTACACAAACATTTAACCGAATTCTAGTAATAGTCCAAGTATTATAATCAGTGACGGCTCATGGAGTTTCCACCGGGGGGCTATAACTCCAAAATAGACTAATATATATTCTCTTCAATGTGCTGAAACACCTTTCTGACTCTGCAGAAGTCATCAGGGTTGTGATGGCTATTTGATCTGTGACATCATTAATATAAAGTATTTTGTGAAAAAAATGGTTTGAGAATAAAACCCAAATAAATTAAATACAAATAAAATATTTGTATTATAGATGCAATAATGTCTTGTAGATATGCATTTTATTCTCAAAGTATCCACGGAGAAAACTGGGTCACAGCTTTTCCCGAACTTATAAAAAGAGACATAAGTTTGACAGCAGTGGGGTGCAGGTGAAGCAGGTGGAGACACGCAGCAGGACCGGTGGAGCTCCAGTCTGCCCAGGATAGATCTCTTCCTCGTATGAAATAGGTGAAATGGATTTATTTCAGAGACTCTTTATTTTCCTACGTAAAGTCAAATCAGTGAGAAGATAGTTTTGTTTGGTGTTAATTTTCATGAAGGAGAGTGTGAATGGCAGATTACTTTGAAGTTTCGGTCATTACAACAGATTTTAGTTTATTAAATACAGCGTGTCCTCCTGCACTTCTGAGCTGACATGTCCGAGCGAGTTTTATTTTACTGTTGTTTACAAATTGATCTTTAACATACTCATATTTCTAACCTTTGAAAAATAATTTAAAGAACTCTCTTGTGCGTGTATAAGCTCCGTTTAGACAGGGGTTTGTTACAGCAGGTCCATCAAAGAGAAGACGGCACGAGGTGCCGCTGCGATGAGCCCAGATTTTGACCAGTGCACCTTTTGTTTTTATGCAGATTAAACAGCATTCAGTTCAACACTCGTCTTCTGGTCATCATTAAATACAACACAGAGTAAACTACAAGAAAAATAAAAACAAACTGACAGGTTGATATTATTTGGACCGAGCTGAATTAATATCCGGCCAAGTTCAGCACGATACACAGCTGTCTACACCAAACCACGCCCACATACACTCGCGCTGAGGCACGTTATTGTATGTCCATCCTCATTGGATGAATCCTGTGGGATAACCCTGGGCTGAACAAAATTAGCCCCAATGAGCCGCAAACTGAGGGGGCGTGGCCAGACGGCTGTCAATCATTCTGAACCACGAAGGAACAGTAACAGAACGGAGCTGTCAGAATTTTGCCCTTTGGAACGACCCTGGGATTTTTTCCAGGTGGTTTGACACCAGTTTTGTTGTAAATTTAACAAAATTTGTTGCATTATTTCTAAAATGTATTTTTAAATTGTTTATTTTACCATCTTTATGGTAAATGCCAGACAGGGTGGGCTTAGCCCTCCTAGCCCATTGATACCAGCCATCACTGATTATAATTACTAGTTTATTTGAAAAAAAGCTAGAGGTGTAATTAAGAAGTTCAGCTAAATGTCTCTGCATCGTTTTGTTTACGTTCACAAACAAATTACCAATAAAATTAAGCCAATAAACTGTTACTCAAAGGCATTTCTGCACTGCTTGTATTGATAAAACATATTGAATGAGCACAATTCAAGGTTAGTGGATAAATATTAAGAGCTATACTTTTTTTAAAGATCAGTTGTGTTTCATTCCATTTGTAGTCAGATTTTCTTTTAAATATCTGGTAGGAAGGTACAAATGAATGCCACACAAAGTCACTTATAACTCTGAAAGTCAAAGACTTCACAAACCATAAATAAATAATGTAATTGTTCACCATGTTCAAACTCCACTCATCTTGTTAGTTTCTCTCACATATGAAAAAACTGTAGTGTGCTGCAATTTTTTAAACCTGGTAAGGTTTAAAATCTACCTTTTATGAACGCATTTTAAATTCTGCACATAAAGGCTTGCTCT